TCTCCACATGTCCCAGCAGCAGGAGATCCATCAGGGCTTCTGCTGATCACTTAAGTTTGAGAGCTGCACGGTGCCTGACTTCAGACCATTGTGTCGGTCTTAACAGATGCAGCTAACTAAATATTTATTTTAAAAAATAAACTGTACATTTGTGTAAGTTTTGGGGTATCTGGGGTACTTTTTGGAGTACCCCAATGATGAATTAACAAATCCAACAGAAATGTGCTAAAAACATGTCTTTATTTATGTCTTAATGTCTTGGTTAAGGTTTAAGTATCAGATAAAAGTGAAAGGACAGTAAAATTACCCACAAGAGTCAAAATGCCACTTTATAACTTGACTATACAAGTTTGTACATGTTTCATTTCAAATTTTAATCAGGTCTTTTGCAACATGTTAATATACATAAGCCAGATCCCAGACATTTGCTGCCAAACAGCATTTACAATATTATCAATACTTTTATATACTGCTCACCTACTATGTCATTAGTTATGTATGCCTATTGAACATATCTCAAACTTTACACTCAAAGTACTACAAAAGAATGTAGCTGGTTTTCCAAGTGTGCCTGGACAGAATCAGAGCAGGAGACCAGAATGTGCTCAAAGTCTCAACAAAATGATGACAAAATGTTGAAGTTACGATAAACAAGCCCACATTTTACTGCAGGGATAAGGCATAAATATTTTGTCTAATTTAAGTCAAACAGAAGTGAGGAGATTGTGAGTATAGTTTGAGATGGTGCACAAGCCATCATGACTTAATTAGTGTAATTGGGGTATTGTGAGACAGTGCTGCATTTCTTTGTGAAGTGAGCCAACTCAAAGCACAACGCTCCAGGAAGTACAAACATTATGACATGGCAGGAAGCTGTATTTCAGACCTCATTTGGTAAATATGAGTTGTGTACTGCCAGAGTGCATGGATCTATTAAAATAACTGGATGGATGGGTATTGCTATCTTAAAGCTGTCTCGAGTTAGATTAGTGGCTACTCATTGGTACTACAGCATTTTTCACATAGAGTGCAATGGAATGACAACTAACAGTGCATCTACAGCTTTCAAAAAGTTTAGATTATGTGTCAGTTTGACCTATTTTCAGATCCTAATCTTTTTCTCTAAACTTGAGCTGTCTTAAAACAGCCGCTCTGGCTACTCTCGCTCTGATTGGTCAGACGTTTGCGTGTGCCTGAGTACTACTGAGCATGGTCAGTGGGCAGGAGGGGACCTAGCCACTAAAGGTTTATCTAGAGACATGCACCACTGAACTTGGCCCATTCACTTGAATCAATTTGAGCAAAACTGTGGTAATAATAGAGCAGATTTTCATCATGGAGTTCGAGGAATAACAAAAACACAATGCATTATTACTTTCCTCACTGGTGCCATTTAAACTAAGCACAATATGAATCAAGGTTTAATTAAATGTGTGAGTTGCACTTCCTCTATATTGTTTTTTTTATAGGTTCAACTGTTTGAACCTCATAATATAAAATGGTTGTCAAAAGTCAAAAATCAGACACTAATCAATATACTAAACTAGCTATTCATTTGAGCAGGTATCAATACTAAAAAAGTCAATTTCACAAGACAAAAGTTGAGCTTTCTTGAACAGTTTTGAGCTTTATCAGAATGATGGATAGAGTAGATTTCTTAGTATCAAAATCAAGTTTGAAATGTTTGTATTGTGACAGCACTATAATATAACCAACCATATTACAAGCAAGTCATTTCTAAAACTTTTTAGTGCTAGTCTGGCCCTTTCAGCTAATTAGGGTGGCAAGACCTCAAGCATACAAAATAGAGCTCTTTAAAAACGAACCAGGGCAGTTCGGTTCGAGGGCTTTTAAGTAGCTTTGATAGCTGCCCTGAGATTTGCCTGCTTCAGTATTAAGACCATAGATTATCAGACAGTACTGGGCCGCTCACTGTAATCAGACTGCTGATCTAGTATAATCGCTTTTCCATAGTAAGCAACACGCTGGTGGTGGGGATCGCCCAGAAGAGACATCTTAAACAGCAGGAGGTTAAGCTACAACAGATTTTAAATTCTACTTTTATGGACATTTGTGTAGGTCCATTGGTGTTATACTGTGGAACTTTGGTGTCAGACCCAGGTTTCTTGGTAATAATGCAGTGAAAACATGTGCCTCCTGGGAGATTCAAGTTTCAATATTTTATGAGCAACAGTGTCGAGATAATTAAACATCAGTTAGGCTACAAAACCACAGAGAATATATGATGAAGGCTCCTCTAGAGGCCCATTCTCAGGAAGCTCATTTTGCTATTACTGTAGGCTATATCATCCTTTATTGTGTGAATGACAGGGGAAAGGACTTTCACTGGAGTCCAGTGGGTGCATGAAATGTGTCTAAAATAAGATGTCTGGAAAGAGGATGCAGCCACAACAACAACATTTAAGAATATTTTGTGGATCTAAGACATAAATATGGCAGATGTGCGTTTGCAAGATACTTTCATCTCAGCCCCACATTGCTGTTGGAAAGGAAAAACAAAAATCACTTGAAAAGTGGTTCAGTTTTTGTCTGCAATTCTGTTCTCGCCACAAATATTTCAACAAAAATGCACCTGCTATGCCATTTGTATCGGGCTGTCATTTGCAAAGGTTTAAATGGAACTTCATGCCAATCACAGACTTTGTGGAAGTTCATTTTCCCCTTGCTTGTGCTGTATAGAAAGTCTGTCTGAAGACCCAGTGAAGATGATGATGGCCAAGTGTCATATTTATAATTTTTTTCTGATTGGTTCTTAATCTATGTTTATTCTTTGGAAAATTTGAAACAAACTAACATACTTTAAATGATATATCCAGTCTGTAAAATGCCTGCGAGTTGACCACTATGAAAACCACTCTTGTCTAAGACTTGCCTTTAGCAGTGACTTCAGGTCAGACACATTCTTTTATGAGTTTCACTTACGAACATCACATGCCAGAACCAGAAGGCTTATACTTTACAGGGGATGTGGTTAAAACGGTTCAACTGGAATCACACATTAATGATTTTGGCAAATACGTACATTTTTAGACACTGTTGGAACTTGAGAGCAAACTTAACTTCCAGTATGCATGATTTGGTTGAAATAGTTAAAGACACACTTCAGAACATAGTCCTTCAAGATAGAAAAGTGTATGTTATAGTGTGGGAAATTACAGCCAAAGGAACAATGATATTTCCATGGAAACAAGCAGGCTGAGAATCCTCCTCCAGGGCAAATAAAGTCAGGTTTGTGGAACGTTTATCGGTGGAATAAACACAACCAAACTAAAAAAGCATCCTTTTATTTTAGTCTATTGTTTTGGCTAAAAAGTAACATGCTGTGTTATTATGCAAAATCAACTTTTTAGAGTTTCTACCATGTTATAATGTTGTTCCACCTTTATGCCTGAAGAGGGTTTTTATGTCACAGTGCAATCTCTCCCCTCCCGGGTCTTATTGGAGCGTCCTTATGATTAGCAATACGATTCTGTCCAGTGCTCAGCACACAAGCCCCTGTCTCCTACAAAACAAATTGAGCATGATACAAAACAATACAGTGCAACTTCACAAGCCTGATGCGCTGTGTAGTAGTTTCATTAGCAAAATGCAAGCCAATTGTACTGCGATGGCAAGGGGGAGTGCGGGGAGCAAAGGGATTCAATGCATGAAGCTCAACCAAGAGATTTACATTCATGTTTTACCAGCACATTTCTAAATGACTGCAAATATATTCTCTGATTATTTTATTGTAAACTATGATAGTCAGTCACTAAATGAGGTGAGTGCTGGAGTCATAGCATCAAGAGTTATCCAACATTCCTCTCCTACAAATAGCTTCAGACCGAAACAATGATTACCTTCCTGTATTTCTGAGTAGTTACTGCCCAATACATTTCTGACATGGAGTAAACAATAACACATGGTTTGCAGTGTATTTTCTCTATGACTCAATCTTACTATGAGTATGATGTTGCTGTTGTTTTCCTCAGTGAGAAAGCATTAAATCAGGTGTATCTGGCAACCAGCTCATTAACAATACCATGCCACGAACAGCAGCAGGAGCAAGCGCCAGGGAGATGTTCACACATCAAAAATTCAGAAACACAACATGAGCAGGGCTAGAGGAGGCATTGTACCTTCACCAAATGAACATCTGCCATAGGGAGTTCACAGTCATAGCCTGTTTTATTGAAAGTAATTAACAGCAGTACTTTGTTGTAGGGTATCAAACACATCCAATTAGGGCTGTGTATTAGGGTTATCTATTTGGGTTTTCAGACAACTCTTATGAAGCAGCTGAATTCCCACCGTATACCTGGCCAGTACATTTGTGTACCCTAATGGCTGGAATTGGGTAAAGACTGCTCCATGTATTCATCATTTTAAGTGATTTTATTGTAATAGTTGTGATTTTATCCGCCTGTATGCAACATTGAATGCCCCTGGTTAATTGGGTTAGTTGGATAGTTACTTTTGGCAGGAAAGACGCATAGTGTGCGCCATACAACACAATACAGGAATAGCTTGAATTCTCGTCATTGTTGAACTATTACCAAGTTTGGATGCGGAATTTTATCTAAAGTTTGTCAGGGACGCGGCTGTAGCTCTAAAAGATTTGAAAAGTAGAACTTGGATTACTCATTCAAACACAACCAAATGAAACTACAGCCCACAGTTTAAGCAGCTCGCAGTAGTAAAGCCATGTGTAACACCACGGCGCTTGAAATCTGGCAACATCCCCAGGAGGATGTAGAGCGGGTTCGTGTAGGGCAGACAGGCGACAGCAGCGGAAACTGCGCTTTTCTCGGGTTTGTAACGGGTTTATGAAGGCTTGGCGAGTCTTGGAGGAGCTACAATGAGCTAGCTCCAACTCCTCAAAGAACAAGAGTCGGGCATGCCTCTCTTGCTGCTGCCTGACGATCTTTCCTCAATACACCAGAAGACCCCCTCGTTAGTTTCAAAGCTGCAGCCCCAAAACTATCAGCGTGAGTACTCACCGGTCTCCAAAGTCGAGATGGAGGCGGAAAAGTAGCCGTGCGTAAAAACAAATATCCACAGGGTTAAAGTTGTCCCGTTAGAGCAGACAGCGTCAGGAAAGATTACTGTTGAGAATGTGTGATGTGCCGTGTGAGTCCGCACAGCGCCGCTCACAGATTCTCCTTGAAGAAGGCGGGGCTGGCGGTGGAGGAGGAGCCTGCAGCGGCGGAGAGACGCAGCTCAAGGCGGAGGACTGGAGCGAGAGAGTGGCCCCTGGCTGTCTGACCCTCAGGAGCCCACGGTAACTCCAGGCTCCACTGCATTATGTAATCTTGACAATGGACACGTCAAGCCAAAATAATTAGTCTGCACTACTTGCCTAATCCCATGATCACCCTAAATATTATTCCAAAACATGAAAGATACTGGGAAGTTTGTCACCCATAAAACCCTTCTTTTCACAGCACGTTTTAGCATCAACACATCCAGTTTACATCGTGGTATACTGTAATCAAGTTACTTAAGAAACAAATACTTTTACAGGTGATTAAGCATGTGAAAAGCATGCAAAGCTGATACATGTAAAATATGTAAGCTATAGGCTACATAAGAAACAAAGAGTTAGAAATGAAAAAAATGAAAAATGTTATGAGTGCTCCCTTCTGCCAGGTGTAACAGAAGCTGAGAGGCAGGTCCATAAATATCAGGTGCTTTTGCTATATCAGTGTGTATTGTCTGCATACACCCTCTGTAAGATGTAATTCTGAAGTGGTGTGGGAAATAAAGGGCTTTAGATGTCTGTCTCGGCTTGTAAAAATAGACCTTGATGATTGCTATTAAATTGTAGGGCTGTATGTGCAATTTTCCATACTGATCATTACACTTGGTTTATGTACACAGAAAAAAACACAATTATAGATGTGTGTGGTTGGATGGCTATTGACACTGTGGTATCCTCCATTGTCGGCAGTTTTGTTTTGTTTTGCCTATTTGCATGTAACACTTACTTTGATGACCTGTAGTGCCCCCGTTAAATTACTTGATTTGACTTTATTTATTTATTTATTTTTCATTTGCTGTCCTTGCCAGTCTTGGGAAGCCTGCAGCGTTGTCCTCAGCAGATGGCATGGACCAGATGACAAAATCCTCAAGAGTTCAAATCTTGACTTTGACTTTCAAACACATAAGGAAACTTAACGGCAAAGAGTGCAATTTGGGTTTTTGTTGTGCTGAAAAACATTTTAAAACATGCATCCTTACTGTGAAGTGGCTTGCATTTTTACAAACCTGACTTCCTCCTTCTTGTTTCCATAGAAATGTTGTTCCTTCAACAATAATCTTCCACAGTGTGGCATATGTCAAAAGCACAGACGACACTATTACATTGTGTCTCTATTGTAAACTATAGGGGGAAATACATTTTCTTATTAAAATGTATTGCATCCGATTGCTCCTCGGTCGTTCCTCCCTGGGATTTCTGTTTCTCAGTCTCGTTTGAATTCAGTGCGATGCACACTCTCCTGTCTTTTCTCCCTCTTTAAGTCTGTTTTGTCTGTGGACACTTGAGGAGCTGTAACTGTGTGCATCTACATTTTTTTTCATTGAAGTTGCCAGCTGAATATAGGGCTGGAGTCAACTAAAGAAAATCTTGCTTGACTTAAGACCTGCCGATCAGCGGTAAAAGTATTTAAGTACTGATACTGTTTCCTTGTACTTCACTACATTTGAGAACAAGTATCTGTACTTCCTACCCCACTACATTTTTAGATTGGACTGAAAAGTAAAAGTATTTTATTATTTTATGAAACCTGCTGAAAAGGCTAAAGGGTTTATTTTTAACATGTTCATCATCTGAGCAAACAAAAATACAAACAAATACAGCCAGTAAAAAAAAAAAAAAAAAAAAAAAAAAAAAAACATTATTCAATTTAGACATTTCAACATTTCAACACAAATATTTATCAAAATCACAACATCTGAAGGTTTATTAGATCTAGAAAAAATACTTTTACTTTTTACTCTTCAAACCCTTTTTACACGTTTAAACGGGTACATTAATACTTTTACTCAAGTGGATTTTTTTTTCTTGTCATACTTTTATTTTTACTTGAGCATTTTCTTTCTCCATGTCTCTGTACATTTATTTAAGTAACAAAGTTCCATCAGTGCTGCTGACTGATTAGTCAACTACAAAAGGGGTGTGGGAAAAGCTCTCAAAACTATTACATATCTTTATGTATCTGACTGCTAAAAAACAACTTACGCTAAAAAAAAGTACTAGGAAACAAAGTATTTATATAAAGACAAATTCAACTGGTTAATCATAAGTTTAATCAGCTTTTCTACATATAAATACCAAATCTTTAGCTAACTTATTCACTAACTTCTCATGTGTAGTTATGCCATATAAATCCTTAAAATCTAAATAAAATTATTAGTTGGATGAGACAAATTTTGCCTAAAGTTGAATAATATATAATTAGCAAAGAAAATAATTAATGAACTGATTAAAAATGAACCAGAACAAGATTTTTCTACGTAGCGCTTTTTGAAATTTGCTTTGACTTTGCTTGTCACTAAAAGGAAGTGGGTTCGCTATTAGCTAGTCTCTGTGAATATGTTATTGCTTACCTGGAATGTTCCACAGCAACAATGTGATTGTCTGACAGGTATCCACACTTCAAACTCCGCCCCTGCCGCCAGGTGTTTGTATCAGAAACACCTGGCTTTTTTGGTAAATTATCACATTTTTATATAGCGTTTTTTCACCTTCAAGGCACTCAAAGCACTTTACATCACAGAACCACTCACCCATTCACACACACATTCATTCAGATTTAAATGTTTTTGACCAGAAAGCTGCAAATTTACCAAGTTTGCACTTAAGTTGACAAAAAATAACTAGGAACAGTCAATAATGCTATTAAAACACCATATACACATATGTATATGTTGAACATTGCAGGCCAAGCAATAACATCACCAAGAAAGTTACATAATGCATCTTTAACAAAGTGACATTCTTTTTGTCAGTATTAGTATTCATTTCTTATATTCAACAGCCTTAACAGAAAACATTTTCTAAATTCGGAGCCTGTCCCCACTCAAAAAATCTTGGCTTTTTTATTGACCCACATTATAAATTTGAAAAACTAATTGTGGCTGTTGCTAAGGCCAGCTTTTTCCAGCTTCCCATGCTGAGTAAAATAAAGAAAGAGATCACCCAATGAGAGTTTGAGAAAACCATACATGCTTTTATTATGTCCGGGCTGGAATACTGTAACTATAACTTTACTGTGGCCTGGACCAGACTTCTCTCCACCACATCCAGGGGGTGCAAAACGCATCAGCCTGTCTCCTGACAGAGACTAAAAAGAGGTAACTCATTACCCCAGTGCTTGCCATTGGCTAACTGTCGATTTTAGAATACATTTTTAAATTTCCTCTTATTTTTAAAAGCCGCATGGATAGCCCCACCTACAGTTCCAAACGCCCAGTTGATCTCTGAAATCTGTGGAACAGCTGCTCCTCTCTGTCCCTCGCTCCAGACTGAGCACTAGAGGAGACAGGGCCTTCTCCTTGGCAGCTCTCAAACTTTGGAATAATCTTCCTTGAACCATCAGGTTTAAAAGTCTGCTAAAGACTCACTATTTGCAATGGCAAAAGAAGAAATTAAATTTGTCACTCACTACAGTTTCACTGTAAACAAGTAGGTGTGTTAGTTTCAGAGTAGTTTCACTATAGTTAGCTCCTCCGTTCAGACAGATATAAGGAAGAATCCTCCAGCATTTTTACCAGAACTGAAGAAGCAGCTTGGATGAGCTGCAAAATGTATTCGACCAAATAAACTTTTGTCCAGTTCACAAATTTGCCATGGATTCTAACTCGACGACTGAGGGATTTTTCACACACTATTTGCAGTGTTTACCACAAACTAAGCTGCAGCATATTCAAATAACTTAATAATAGTAGTCAAACTATTATTTATTATTATTTTTTTACCTTCTTTTTCTTGTTGTTGTGTATTGTGGTTTACAGCTGTATGTAAAGCCCTTTGGTCCACTGTGGTTGCTTTTAAGTGTGATATATACATTTGACCTGACTAATTTGTCTTGATGCATAGATGCAGGATTCATTAAAACTCAGAAAACTTGTGAGTACAGAATTTGGGTCAGGGGTATTTGTGCGCCCTTGTTTGCTCTTAACCTCAATCTCTGTGGTCCCGGGACAGCTCAAACTGAGGGGGACTGAGGGGGCTTAGGACTTTTCTCTTTTACATATTTCATGGATTTGCACTTGGCCCAATTCTTTCACTGAGCAAAAAGGAGCCAGTTGTTGTGCTGAAGGAGACATGCAAGAACCACACTGAATAATAATCATGTTTTTGTCACAGAAAGTTACACTGACATTTAAGTTTTGCAAAAGACAAGATATATTGTAAAAAACAGACATCATTCTCTCAGTAGGAGCTGAGGAGACAGGCTGTCCATATTCAACGTTTTTAGTGTATGATGGCTTAAAAAGACTATAAAAGCCAATGTCACGGTGGTACTAAATAGTGATCCTGCCTTTTACATGTTGAAATGATCAGATGAGATGAGTACTGATGGAGGTCACCTACTTCTTGTACAGGTCAACCCAGCAGCATTTCCCCTCAAGGACAAATTTGAATAGGCTGCTAGTTGTCCAAGTTAATTATTTTTCATCAGTCATTGCTGACATAAGAATATTTGGTGTGATGGTAAATTAAGAAGGTACTGTCAGATATATTTGCATCTCACATACTAGTTCAGGAGAGTTTTTGAAGGGACATAAATTTAAATAGGGGGAAAGTGATACCTAGTTGTTTTAAATTAAAGGTTCAGTATGTAACTTTCTGGAGGTGGCGCATCAGCTTCATGATTTTTATATGAAAATAGAGAATAAAAACCATACTTAAGAACATTCTTCATGGAGATAGATAAGTTTAATGCCATACTGTGGACAATTACAGCCAAAGAAACAACATTTCCACAAAAAAAGGCAGTAAGAGCAAGTTCTCCTCCAGGCCACATAAGAGCCATGTTTCTGGAGATGTGTAAGGACATGCATTTTTCAGTTCAATAAACACATCCAGAATGAAAAAAACAAACAAAACATACAGTTACATATGGTGGCTTTAAAATGAT